AAAATCTAAAAAAATAACTTATGCGAACAAATATTTAATTAGACTCCGGTGTTTTTCTCCCTCACCCCGGCGGTAACCCGGGTAGGGACGACCCCCGATTATCAAATTAAAGGCACGACGAGAGAGGTGTCCCTGACCAACATATAAAACCCCTACCCTTACCAGCCCGGCAAGGAGAACCCCCCCGAACTACCCGGCTGGCCTATCCGGCGGCGGTCAGAGACAGAGTAGACAGAGAGATAGTTGTCACATAAGAGGAAGACAGAGGAGGAAGCGAGGTCCCAGGCGGTTGGAAAGACGAAGGACGGCGGCTGAGGAAGAGCCCACAATCCATTTAATTCTTTATGAACGCATAAGTATAAAAGAATAAGACTACACTAGAAAGGCGAATACTTTCCGCGGGTAAAGACGGTTACGAACCTACGTTTTTTTCGAGGGAACTTATTCTACTTAAGTCATTAAAAGTTTTTATTTAAATAACTGTATGGATGATACAAAAAAAAAATTTCCGTTTCGAACAGAGGAATAAAAATCGTGAAGTATTTACGAAAACCTTTCGAAAATTATTAATCTTTAAACGGGAGAAAATAAAATTTTACGAGGGGCATGAAAAGAAACTCCATCGCAGTCGATAATCTACCCTACTCAAACAAATGCGATGGATTAATAAAACTGTGTGCCTAATGGAGCTGAGATTGAATGAAAAAAATTCCCCTCTTTTATAAAGGGCACACTACAAATTCGTGGATTCGAGAAACCCTCAAAAAAGAAAAAAGATTTTTCGAGAGTATAAATCAACCGATCTTAGTAAAACTAAGAGGTAATACTACGTCGCTGTTTTGTATATTTGGTATTATGTCAATTGATTTTCCTTTATTCACTATTATTATCCACACTCGGATCCGGATCAACACAAGTCTATAGAGTAATAGTTTAAGTAAATTACGAAAGAAAGAAGTAATGTTTACGAAAATTAGGAAGTTGGATTTGACACAAAACTGAGAATTTGTTGTCCTGACACAGTTGAGTCAAACAGAAGACTAGAAAAACAATCGCGAGGCGCGCGGAGGAGGTAGCACTAAAAGGATGATGAGACTCAAGACAGGGTCCCTCTTTGCACCTCTCGTGGAGTCAACCGAGACGTACAAGACCTACTAACGCCCTATATGCGTAGACGCGTACCGGAACCCGATAATAGGGTGTAATGCCACTCATGTTCGTTGATATGGTGGACTTGATATCACTCATAACAAATCGAAGAAGAGACGATTACAGTTCATCTACTAGCGATTCGAAACTATTTTTGTGAAATTCGGTGATCAATGCTAAAAATGCCCCTTATAATGGGTAAACGAAAAGAGTGGTCAATGTACTTTTCTATTTTTGTACTTGTGGTACTGATACCGTCCACTAGAGTCTAGACTCCTAGTTAAATCGCAAGCTGCGTTCACGATTTCGTACAGCAGCCAAATACCGCGAAATAATCTGTGTAAACTTTTGTGTGTATTGTGTTTGTTTCCCAAGCATCAAAGTTGTATTTATCATCTGAACAAGTTTAATATTCTAAAAACCAAGACTTTATTGCTTATTTGAGATCAGATGAAAACAAACTGTCACGGACCCTGCCGTGTTATCTATGATTACTATAGGCCTACGCTTTTCATTCATAATTTCAGCTGGAGGGAGGGGGAGCGGCGCTGAGAAACAACAGGGCGCGGGTTGACCGGTGCCTGTGTTGACATTCCCCTTATTGTGGAATAAGGGGAATGCAGAGACAGGCTACAAGTGTCTTAGGTTCAAGTTAGACAACTAATGTCTGGGTTAGTGTTCATGACTTCATGTTTATCTCATCTTAATGGTTAATCTCAATACACACACATTTTCCGTGCTTTCCAATAGTTTAAAATAGTTTTATTCCACTGTTTAATAACCTTTTCAATACAAACATGCCACTTGTAAAAATGAAATATTTGTTTAGTGAGCTTATTAGAGGATGTTCCCATTTTTTGGGGGATGTTCCCTTTGATTGTAAAATGTCAATGGAGATGTCAGACTTAGTATATTTGTTAATAATTACATACAGCACATGGCATTTTTGTGTGTGTTTGTTCCAAGTGAATCTGCGGCCCCCTGGTAGCCAGTACATCAATGATGTGGCCCCCACCACCATCAAAGTTGCCCATCCCTGCTTTACAGTCAGCATGTCCTCCGCTGCTATAGTCTTTCAATGTTTACTTTGAGGTAACCATGGCAGCCCTCTGTTTTGTCTTGTGACAACCTTACCGTAGTTTGTCCTGCTCTCTGCGTTGCCTGTCCTTCTCCACCTGCTCGGCCTGGGCCTTCAGAGCCTTCTCCCTCTCCTCCTTCTCCCGGGCCGCTCGACGGAATTGCTCAAAACTGTCACTCGATGACTTCACTGCAGACGTGGGTGTGGATGTGGACTTTTGGGCAAGGCTGGCCCATGAGCCCATGTTCTTCAATTTGACATCCTGAGACACACAAACACAGACAGACAGTCAGATAGACAGTAAGAAAAGTTCCATTAATATCGGTAATGTTCAAAAACCTTTCAAGATGCAGTTCATACGTTAAGAACTGGGAGATGTGTACAAGATACTTTTTTAAAAGTGACTAATTACAGCCTCCTGTACCTTTTTGGGGGCAATAGGCGTCTTGGAGTCCTGCTTGAACTTGTCCTTGTCTTGCAGAGAGGGAGGCGGTCCACTGGACTCAGAGGAGCGGATCACAGGTCGCGAGCTGTCCATGGACTTCACATCTGCGCAACACAGGATCACACACATTAATATTCTCAGTGTTTTGTGGAGATCCTACAATTCTCCGTCTCTGTGCATTTTAAAGGTCACATGTCATGGCCATTTCCACTGATCATAATTCCATTGTTGAGGTATACTAAAATAGAAAAAATACTGTGCAATTTCCAAACTCACATTGGTTTCGCATACAGCATCTCTGTAAAGTATGTGTATTCAGCAGTATTCACTTTCTCCACTAAATGGCTCCTCCCCCCACCCCCGCCCTTCCGTGATTTCCTTGTTTAGCGATACACAGCCAAACACAGCCAAACTCAACCTGAACACACACAAAGTCACAGNCTGCTGCTGCTGCTGCTGCTTGCTGTGCTGCTGTTGCTGCTGTTGCTGCTGCTGCTGCTGCTGCTGCTGCTGCTGCTGCTGCTGCTGCTGCTGCTGCTGCTGCTGCTGCTGACGAACCTGCGCCTGAAGTGACTGCATGGACTGCATGGACTGCTGGGGCTGCTGGGGCTGCCGGCCTTGCTGGAACTGCTGCAGGTATAATTGTACTTGGTTCAGAGGGGTGGTAGACTCTGGCTCATCATCGTCCTCCAGCAGCATCTGGGGAGGCTGGGAGGAGAGCAAGCCCTGGGGGGTGAGTGTTGGGGGGGACATGGGCCGCTGGTGCAGAGGCTGAGCAGGGTGGAGTATCTGGGGGGGAAGCTGGTGCTGTGGTGGTGGAGCTGCTGTCTGGGGGGGGGGCTGCTGCTGCTGCTGCTGCTGCAGGGGGGGCTGCTGCTGGGGGGGTGCTGCTTGCTGCTGAGGGGCTTTTGGATGAAGAGGCGCCGCCTTGTGACTGGGTCGGGAAGGCTGCTGAGGCATGGAGATGTGCAAGGCTAAGGGTGCACAGAGTCAGGAAAGAAACAGAAATATAAGAAATACACATTTGTTGTAACAAAAATATCTTTCTAATAGGGATGTTCATCTTTTACATGTTAACATACACATAATAAATTCATTTGCAAAATGTAAACACATTTTTACAGTTATTTAGTGGGAATTAAAAAAATAAAGAAGACATTTATAAAAGGTGCTCTCCACTGTGATGGGACATGAGACACTGATTCTAACCCACTGGTGTATAGCGGACACTACAGCAGGAGAAACCTCGGCTTCATTCAATCTTTTCTGAACAGCTGAAAGTGGTGAGTGAAAATCTAAAACAAAAAAGTAATAGATCACAGCAGTCCTATTAAATGTTTAATGACGTATGAAAAAGGAATATGGATGGATATTATTTTAAACTGTAGGTCATAGAAAGAGAATGAAAACCAAAGTTCACTGTATAAAAACAAAACAACATTTGAGTGGCATTAAATAATTTGAATAACGAAAAAAATGGATTGGCGTACATTTGGCCTTACCCGGAGACGTAAGGATGGGATGCTGGTTGAGGAAGGGGTGGGTTTCAGGGGACACTGGCCCAGCAGAATGAGCGTTGAGATGTGGAGCTGCGGGTGAGGATTGGGAGTTGCCTTGGTGATGGGACAGATGCATGAGGGGCTGGCCGAAAGGCGGCAGGGACTCAAAGCTAGTTTCCAGTAGTTGGGAAGACTCCAGAGCAGCTACGGGGGGGGCGGTGAAGCCTGCAGGAGACGGCTGATGCTGCTGCTTCATCTGGATGCTAGCCTGAAGGCCTGCTATATGGGAATGAAGCCCAGCCTGAGCGGGGCCACTCTGAATGTGTAAATGAGGATGAGGCTTCTTCCCCTCCTTCGCAGAGTGGCCCTTTTTCTTCTGATGCTTTATTATTCCTGGAAAATGTGAAAAGAAAGATGAAGCACTTTTGCATTTAAAAAAAAAAAAAGATTTATGTGGCCATTTTAACTGTCAATTTAAGTCACCTGTCGCTTCAGCCTCGCTGTCTGTGCTGGAGCCGCTGCTCTCTGAGGAGGAACCAGTCTTTTTGGAGGTGACCATGGACTCCACAGGCTTCTCAGCTGCAAAGTAACAACTATTTGTTCATACATTTCCAATAAAGCATCAAACCGTAAGTAAACTAAACAATTAGACACAGCTGTTAAAACTCGGGACCAGCTCCCCTTGGTGGTTTCTTAGAGAGGCTTACCTGGAAACTTCTTCTTCTTGCGGAGGCATGAAGACACGTATCTCTCCAGCTCGCGCAGAGTGGAAGGCTTTAGCGTCTCAAAGTCAATCTCGATCTCATCGGGGTTAGAGTTTTTGAGTGAAGGCTCTCTGGACTGGATGATATGGACCACACGGCCCAGCTTGTCCCCAGGAAGCTTGTTGATGTCCAAGCTGAGCTGCCTTTTCTCTTCGTACGTCATAGGCTTGCCTTTTTCCCCTGAGGACGAAGACCCAGCAGCTCCCAGATCCTCTTCCAGGCTGGGAACTGGCAGCAGGTTGGTGGGATGATTGAGTTTCATCGCTTCCTTTTTACTAGAAGAAGAACAACATTTTAAAACGTAGGGATTTATAACAATGACAAGCCTATGTTTACGTAATAGCTTTCATAATAAAGTTCAAATGCATTAAAACTAACAATGGATACATATAGACTTCTACAGGGAATGAAGATATTATAAAATCTCCTACCAATCATTAAACATTATAAGAATCTAAAATAAAATCTCTCAACAACCATTAAACTGTGTGAACCTGAGAAAATGACTCTCTACCATGGCCACAATTTCGGCCATGGTAGCCATAACAGGAAGGGGAAATCAGAATTGGTTAAAGATAACACTGAATTGTGCAAAGCCAAGCTGATGGCTATACAAACATTTACTTTCAAGGAGTTTAACATGGAGGAAGGTAATAAAGGTGTAAAACCTACCTAGATTTCTTCCTTGGTGCACTGTCCTTGTTGTTATGGTCTCTGCTCTTGTTCTTCTTAGAGAGCTGCGGGACAGGTGTTGCATCCTGGATCTCATCCACATGGCCAGACATACCTCCCTTTTTCTTATGCTTTTCTTTCTTCTTCTCCTTCTCCTTTTCTTTTTCCTTCTTCTCCTTCTCTTTTTCTTTTCTCTTTGGTTTGCTGGCTTGTGGTTGAGACAAGGCAGCCAACTGCTCGTGGACAGCCTTCAACTGGATACAGAGAAAAGACCAGCTGTCAACAAAAGGGCAACAAGGACCAGACGTGTTCCACCACCGTAAATGTATTCCGGTCACTGACCTGATCCTGGAGCTCTGCTAACCTCTGGACTCTCTCCTCTTCAGAGTCGTCTGTGGAAGACTCGGACTCGGAGGACGAGTCACTGGAGCTGTCTGAGGACGAGGCCACGTGGGCCAGAGGAGGCTGGGGCTTAACTGGTGCAGGGTGGTGAAGTACAGGAGCTGGGGGGGGAACCAGAGGCTTGGTCTCCAGTTCATCTGGCATCTTGGCAAAGCGCATCTCAAAGACATCCTATGAAATGAGAAGAAAACAAACAAGTCAGAAACACAAAGTGAATGTTTGTAGAAAGAGACCGAAACACAAAACAATCAAAACATGAATGAAAGTTGTGAGATGGACTGTGCATGTCATAACACTTCGATAGCATCCTGGCACAAGTGTTTATGTTCTACTTTAAATTCTTATTTTATTTTCTTACACATTTTAAGCAAAACGTTGTATATACAAATGATCCTAAATAGATTTTCCTGCAAAGGTTACCAGTGACAGCTTTAATTGTTGCTCACTTTTCTATTAGTTAAAACATTGGACAATCTAGCTTACAAAACATGTATTACAAACATTATGGTACTTTTTACTATAACGTGTAACTGTCCATTTATTGAATTATGCTTGTCCTTTTTTACGACAGGAACCTTGTTTGCATGTCAGCCTATATATTCACCTGCAGTTTGCGGGCCATGGCTACCACCTCATGGTCTGGAGGATTATATTTGTAGCAGTTGGAAAACATTAATCGTACGTCAGCAGCAAACTCCTGGGGTTCTCGGTATTGCCTGTTCTCCAGCTTCAACTGTTAAGAACATTCAAGTGAGTTACTTGCCAATGCCCGAAATGACTGTCAATATCTTACGAAACTATAATGAATAATGCAGTCTAATCTCACCTTGATGCTGCTGAGGTCCATAGGATACTTGATGATGTCATGATAATCGTGTAGTCCCAGCGCAGCCACATCCACAGGTTTGTAGAAGGGCCAGGCATAAGCAGCGTGCTTCTTGGACAGCATGTCCCTGACCACACTTGCACAGTATCCTAGCTGATCCTGTGGTTTGGGGCTGTGACCGCCACTTGGTCCACTCAGTCCCATCACCATGCCGATGTGATGCTGGGAGTCAGGAGCCTCCTTCTTCAACAGTTTAGGAGGCCGCGCACTCTCTCGCCTGGGTAGGGTCTTCCCAGATTTAGACTCTGCTGGTGAAGACTCACTCAGTTGGTCATTTGCTGTGGGAGTGGTGGTGTCAGCTTTCCGCTTCTGGCTCTTTCTTATCTAGATAGAAGTGAATACAAGGAGAGCAGAGAGATGGTGAAAAAGGGCCAGGAAATCAGTAGTTAAAATAAGTTGGCAATCCTTTAATTGCCTTAGACACATTTTAAACTCCCTCTTCTCCAGCATTTCAAAGCAGTATTCTAGTTGGCACCTCAAAGAACTTCCATCTATACTTTTTAGCAGAGGTGGGAAGTAGTGGAGTACAAATACTTTGTTACTGGACTTGAGTAAATGTTTCTGTTATCAGTACTTTGCTCCACTACTTATGTTTCTGACGACTTTTTACTTTTACTTCTTACATTTTTAACACAAATACCTGTACTTTCTACTTCTTACATTTTGAACACAAATACCTGTACTTTCTACTTCTTACATTAACACAAATACCTGTACTTTCTACTTCTTACATTAACACAAATACCTGTACTTTCTACTTCTTACATTAACACAAATACCTTTACTTTCTACTTCTTACATTAACACAAATACCTTTACTTTCTACTTCTTACATTAACACAAATACCTGTACTTTCTACTTCTTACATTTTCCAAACAGGCTCGTTACTTTAGTTTGAATGTGTGTTTGGTGGCGTGATCATTATTATTTAGAGTCATTGCGTGCCTATTGATTTTAACACGATCCGTGTATCCATCATTTCCTGGTCTTCTCTAAAGAAGAGGGACCAATGAAAACGTTCTCATGTTGCCGTTGTTCAGCATCGAAACATTCATGAGCTAACAATGACATTATTGTTCCATTAATATAAAGGGAAGTCAGGTACTCTTTAAAACAGATGGTAGTTATGGGTACTTTTTACTTGGAAGCCCATACTTCTTTAATTTTACTTGAGTAAAGAAGTTTAGTCAGTACTTCTACCAGAGTATTTTTAAACACGAGTATCTGTACTTCTACTTGAGTAAAGGATGTGTTTACTTTTGCCACCTCTGCTTTTTCAAACATCACACTCACTTTGGTCATGGTAATGGGGTTCTGCAGCATGGGTGCAACGTTCTGGATGGATGCTGGGGGGAGTGCAGTCTGAGCAGGGGGAGGCACAGAAGTCATGATGGGAACTTGAGGAGCGCAGTCTGAGTGGCCCATCGAGTAGGGGGCTCCGAGCTGTGGCGCATGGCTGGGTAACGTGGGGGGCATGTGGGACGGCAGGGCCTGCATCAAAGGCAGGGGAGGTAGTGAAGGCGGACCCTGCACCGGTCCCCTGATCTGTGGTGCTGCCGAGAGGTTCGACACACCACGTGTTAGAGGGATCGTGGACGAAGAATCAATGATGCCCCCTGGTTTCAAGTTCAGACCTTGATGAGAAAACAAGACATTGGGTTAAATATACCATCTCCAGCTTCAACAACACCCTTAGCAAAAGATGAAGCAGAAAATCTCATACCTCCTTCTCTTCGGCCCCTGCCACGCCCCTTCCCTGTCATGACAACAATCTCAGTTTCTTCCTGAGGCATTTCTGTGACCCTTTGGAGGAAAGCCTTCTCCAGAGACTCCGCCATTAAGACTATGTCATCTCCGGGCTGCAGGGGGAGACAAACACAGTTAGCAAAAGTGGAGGCATTTGAAAATATTTTGGATCTTATGTTAACAAGAGCTCCAGTGTACAAATACGTCACCTTGTTGTATATGTAGCAGTTGGTAAACATCGTGTTGAAGTCTTGGATACATTCTTGGGCATTCCAGTAGTAACTGTTCTCAAGCCTTCTCTTGATTGTTCCCATGTCCATAGGAATTTTGATTATTGTGTAGTAGTCCTGAAAAAAGGTTGCATAAAAGTGAGTGAGAACGCAATTGAGACACAACAACAAATAGTAGCCCAAATCTGAGAAGATCCGATTCCTTGTCTTGTTCACTTTTATAAATAATAATGATCTAATATGTGCAAGAAAAAACTATTTGATTCAAACAACTTTTGCGTGCCTTAGTAATGCCCTGATGAAAGTTTAAGGTAGGTTGCGTCGTGCAAACAGAGGCGAAGTACTCACAGGCAGGTTAAGTTTGATCGCATCCACTGGTATAAGAAAGGGCCAGGCAAACTGGTGTTTCCACAGGCCCTTCACCACCACCTTGAGCAAGTACTGCAGCTGATTGGTCTGGCGCTTTGCCCTGGTGGGATTGATGTACTCTGGAGGTGGGGGGTTGCCACCTTGCTGGGCCTGCCCCTGGCCGCTGCTGCTACTGCTGTTGCTGCCCGACATCTGCGCTGCATCCAGGCCGTCTCCCATTCTGACAGGGTGGGGCGCGGGCTCAGTCCCCCGAGCAGGAGCTGGAGCTGCAGGGGCAGGGGTAGTGGTGTTGGCAGGACACCAGCTCAGTCTTGGCCCCGGCACAGACTCCACTGACAGAGCACCGCTGATCCCATTGCACTCCTCACTGGACTCTCTGGGGAGAGAAGAAAAGCAAACGGTCATTAGCATATTTAAAAACATTACATTCAATTGTTCAGTCTAGCTTCTTTCATGTACAACCAAGTGAAACAATATAGATTCAAATGAATGGTTCATTGTGTCTTGCCACTCTCCATAATGGACGGTTTTTCACCGCGCCTTTTGATTGTGTCTGTTTGGAGCAGCTACAGACAATTCGACTGATGGGATCAAACAGCATACCACAAAATCATTTTTTTGTTGAGTTTTTTTTTTACCCCTCGTTATGAGTGATATTACTCTTTGGGATGTTCTGATGCAGATAATAATGAACCTGGCAGAGCTCTCAACTCTCTTTTCTGGGAGAAAATCAGGACCCCACACACACAGTAAGAAAAAGTGTCTGATTGAGAGCCATCATGACAACAATAGCTGAAATATAAAGTAAAACGTAAGCTACAATAGACAGGTGGCAGGTTTTTACACTCCTTGCCCTCTTCCCAGGGCCAGAGACTCAGGGAAGGGCGGGCCCCCTGCCCTGTGAGAAACGTTTCTTAAATACCCTAACTCCCTCTCAGACATGGCTGTGACTTCTTTAGTTCAGCTCAAACCAAGATGATGGAAAGAGAGCCTAAAATAATCCACTGTTAAAGATTACAAATATTTTTTTTAATGGGAATAATTGTGACCAACTTTACCATTATAACAATATTTGCCAAGCAACCCTGCAGAACATTTATATAATAGATTAATTATTGTGTTGAGTAACAGCCTACATGTTTTAAAGAGTGAGGTTCTTATCCACAACCAGTCATAACACATCTTGTTTTGCCCATTTAAGAGTGAAAATCCCAATTCTATTCAGTTCACAAAATTGATAAAAGTTGATATCATCCTACTGCTGATATTGATACATTTTCAAATGTGCCGTGTATTCAAGAGAGCAAAGAGTTTAAGGTTTGGCTCAAGCAGTGTGTTTTTTTAGTAGATCTTTGATTAACTACTCTGTCTCAGTTCCTGGGATTGCTTAGGGATGTGGGCGGACAGAGGGTGCAGGGTGAGAGCAAATGAGAGTCATCTGGCAGCTGGGGGGGGGGGAAACAGACAACTGTGTGATCTGCTACACAGCTCTCAGTCATAAACTATGGCCCCTTACAGCCAGCCATGGACATCACATTCAAGATACACACAAGGCTCTAAAGACAACAAGGTTGATATGAGGTATTCTTGTCTAGGGAACCCACGGTGTTCAGTAAAAAGCACTGATCATAAAGGTTGTGTATTCTGGCCTGTATTAGAAACAAGTTACTCTCACAGTCTTGAACCCTGAAGTCCACCCCCACAACTTCAAGATAAATACACACCACAGTATATATCTATGACTAATCTCATTCTTGATGAGTCACTTCATGAGAAGAGGGAAGCAGTTTGTACACCACATGATCGCTGCCTTGGCTGCCCTGAGGCCTTTAAACACAGTGGAGAATTTGAATGACCAATATGGTAACAGCACAAGATCATCAGAGATGGTACTTTTGAAGACGAAAGCAAAAAGATTGACAAATAAGACCGTAAATAAATAAAGCACAGAACTTGTCGAAGCCCTAGGCATGAATGTGAACAATTTACATATGGAAAACATTGCTTTTGTCAACTGGCTTCAACGAATGATACCATTTAAACGAGTCGCCTCAGTATATTGACTTCAAGATGAACCTGTCATTCCTGTCTGTTATGGAGGTTTGCTTTCACAGGTATCACAGGCTGTCTGTAGAAGACTGGTATTTGAACTACACGACAGTACGCAATGCATAGCTGCCTTGTTTTAGAGATTGCACTGGACAGCTTCCGATACAATCCTATTTTGCTGGATATATTTCCACCTTTGTTTCCACTAGCATTTACTATGACAATTGATTACGATTTGTCAACAAAACAATACTCAAAATGTGTTTCCAATTGCAGTGCATGTCATTTGTTTCGACAAGCACCAAGACAGAGGCTGGGTTGAGAAATAAAAAAGTTATTTAGGTATTTGCTGAAGTCTTTGAATATTGATAAACACTATATTTCAATTTTTTTTAACATGAAAGAGATAAAAAGGGTCAGTGAGGACATTTTTATAACTTCAGTGATTAAAGAGAACAAATGGCTTTACTAAAGTATGTCCTGGAAAGGGATCACATTCCAACGCTTCTTATTATTTGATTTTGAGACAATTCAAATGTTATTTCCAATTATAATTTAGTCTTTTGAGTTATTGAAAAAAATCTAACTATTTTTATAATTGAACACCCATCATTTTTGGTTTATTTGTGTACCCAACCTTAAAGAAAGGGACATTTGTAGGTACATTTGAATGCAATTATATACAAACGTAAATACTACCTGCAAATCCTTTTTTTTTATTGGGAATAATTTTGTACATTTAATTAAATATGACTTTGTACTGGTTTTATAATATTTTGATCTTCCATATATATAGATATACAGTGGGGCAAAAAAGTATTTAGTCAGCCACCAATTGTGCAAGTTCTCCCACTTAAAAAGATGAGAGAGGCCTGTCATTTTCATCCTAGGTATACCTCAACTACTATGAGACAAAATTAGAAAAAAAATCCAGAAAATCACATTGTCTGATTTTGAAAGAATTTATTTGCAAATTATGGTGGAAAATAAGTATTTGGTCACCTACAAACAAACAAGATTTCTGGCTCTCACAGACCTGTAACTTCTTCTTTAAGAGCCTCCTCTGTCCTCCACTTGTTAACTGTATTAATGGCACCTGTTTGAACTCGTTATCAGTATAAAAGACACCTGTCCACAACCTCAAACAGTCACACTCCAAACTCCACTATGGCCAAGACCAAAGAGCTGTCAAAGGACACCAGAAACAAAATTGTAGACCTGCACCAGACGTGTTTGGAGGAGAAAGAATGCTGAGTTGCATCCAAAGAACACCATACCTACTGTGAAACATGGGGGTGGAAACATCATGCTTTGGGGCTGTTTTTCTGCAAAGGGACCAGGACGACTGATCCGTGTAAAGGAAAGAATGAATGGGGCCATGTATCGTGAGATTTTGAGTGACAACCTCCTTCCATCAGCAAGGGCATTAAAGATGAAACGTGGCTGGGTCTTTCAGCATGACAATGATCCCAAACACACCGCCCGGGCAACGAAGGAGTGGCTTCGTAAGAAGCATTTCAAGGTCCTGGAGTGGCCTAGCCAGTCTCCAGATCTCAACCCCATAGAAAATCTTTGGAGGGAGTTGAAAGTCCGTGTTGCCCAGCGACAGCCCTAAAACATCACTGCTCTAGAGGAGATCTTCATGCAGGAATGGGCCAAAATACCAGCAACAGTGTGGGAAAACCTTGTGAAGACTTACAGAAAACGTTTGGCCTCTGTCATTGCAAACAAAGGGTATATAACAAAGTATTGAGATGAACTTTTGTTATTGACCAAATACTTATTTTCCACCATAATTTGCAAATAAATTCTTTAAAAATCAGACATGTGATTTTCTGGATTTTCTTTTCCTCATTCTGTCTCTCATAGTTGAGGAATACCTAGGATGACAATTACAGGCCTCTCTCATCTATTTAAGTGGGAGAACTTGCACAATTGGTGGCTGACTAAATACTTTTTTGCCCCACTGTATATATAGAGTTATATATCAAGAACTATTTTTATATGATATAATGCAGTATATTCCAACATGAACACAATAGCCTATACATTTATGGTTCAAANTAAAACATCACTGCTCTAGAGGAGATCTGCATGGAGGAATGGGCCACAACAGTGTGTGAAAACCTTGTGAAGACTTACAGAAAACGTTTGACCTCTGTCATTGCCAACAAAGGGTATATAACAAAGTATTGAGATGAACTTTTGTTATTGACCAAATACTTATTTTCCACCATAATTTGCAAATAAATTCTTTAAAAATCAGACTGTGATTTTCTGGATTTTCTTTTCCTCATTCTGTCTCTCATAGTTGAGGAATACCTAGGATGACAAT